GGGCGCTCTGCCCTGCTGCTGCTTGCCCAGCTGGGGCAGGGGGAGACAGGATGTGGGCGCAGCTCGCTCCAGGCGGAAGGGGGTAAGCAGCAGCAGGGCATAGCCCTGATGCGGGCAGCGCTCAGCACCCTGCTGAGTTGGCTGTACCCACGCCATGGGACAGCTGCTACATGGCTGCCAGGCAGGGGGGGGCGATCCCTGCTGACCCCCACTGCCCCGTGCTGTGTGGGGGGGCCCTGCCACGAGCTCCCAGAGGGCCCAATCATGGCTGCTGCAGCCAGTGAGTGCAGGGCTTTTTTTTTTAAGTGCCAGAACTAGGCTGGGGTTGGGCAGGGGTTGGAACTGGGCAGGGCAGCCACAGGGGCTTTTTCCACAGCTCTCCCGCCCGGGCAGAGGCCGGCACAGTCGGAGGAGTCGTGGGAGAACCTGCAGCCGCCTGGCTTTGCCTGCCTCTCCCTGGCCGATCCGAATCACCGAATCTCTCTGAATCAGCGCCGCATCTTCCGAAGCTGATTCTGCTGAATCGACCAATCTCCGAATCAAATCGCTGTCCTCCGAATCAGTTGAATCTGAATCCAAATCGAATACTTCTCTATTCGCACAGGCCTAATGACAACTTGATGTTAACGTCACCTTTGTTGTAGTTGTGGCTGAGGACCAAGGAAGAATGGACCCCTGTTTTTGTAATGCAATTTCTATAACCAGCTAGCAACATCTAGACAGAAATATCTGCTACCGAGGCCCTGACGCATAATACCGCCAGCGTTACACATCAGGGCTCAACAGAGAAGGTTTGAGCCAGCAGGTGGTAATTGCATCTGGTGTGTGATTTGTGGGGCCTGATGTGCTAATGTCCAGGCGAATAACTTTTTGCCCACGTGACTATAACACTGACTTCACCAAGGCCACTTGTTTATGCGTTTCCAGGCTCAGGCTCTCGAAACGGTTCCACTTTTATTACACTGCAAAAGCCCATTAACCTGACTGGGTGTTTTGAGCCTGTTGTGATTAAAGGGTTTCTATGTTAGAAGCTTAATTCCTTTTCCATGAAGAGCGATAAACTGTATTTTAAAACAACTTTGGTGCTGAAAGTCGTGTTGTGTTTTTTGACCCGAATTGCAGAACGTGAAGGCGAGTGTGTCCGAGACCCCTGCGGTACCACCAGTTTCAGAAGATGAAGATGATGAGGATGATGCTGCTCCGCCCCCAGTAATAGCTCCACGCCCCGAGCACACAAAATCGGTAAGCACGTGAACCACGTTAACGCCCTTCCCACACATTTCACCCCATCTGTACTAGACAGCGGGTCAGTCTGCCTCAGGCCATGGGCTTTATGCAGCTTCTGTCCCGTTCCTGGGAGCAGCGAACAAACTGTGATTCAGGGATCCAGTTCCTATTCCCTTGCTCAGGGGAAGGAATAATTTACTTCCAAATGAGCTGCTTCGTGCTGTCACATAATGCTCTTGACTTGCTAAGGCTTTTTCATGTGGGAATGTTTCTTTCACTGCTTACAACATGCTACTACAAAGGAAATGCAGCTAGTGCATGGAGGTGGGGATTTATTTTTAATCCTTCCTTTATTGAAATGTCTGTGCGTTTCTCCCAACACAACAGATATACACTCGCTCCGTGATAGAACCCCTTCCTCCACCTCCCACCAGAGATGTGGCCACCTCTCCAATCTCCTCGCCCTCTGAAAACAGCACGACCCCGCCTGACACGCAGACGAGGAACGCAGAGAAACAGAAGAAAAAACCAAAAATGTCAGATGAAGAGATCCTGGAAAAATTAAGTATGTTGCCTTTTATAAAGTCCATGTTCCACTTCTGGTCAGGGATGTCCAGGGTCATTTCTGTTCCTGAAGCTTTAATGAGCAGAGACCTGTGACAGTTACTTTCGGAGACTTCTTACTTAAGATGTCGCCTTAGGAGACTGTTCTGTCTGTGGTCTTTGGGCGCAAATGTAAGTGCTGAGAGGCTGATCTTCAGGCATGCTGAGTTCCTGTGATTCCCATGGGACCTAGAGCTGCTCAGACTTTGAAAACCAGGCCCTGAATATATATGCATATTGAAACATGAATGTTGAAGTCATCCTAGATGTTGCTATTTTCTCAATTTGGGGCTGAGTATATTTAAAAGTGTCAGACTCGAGGTGAGCAAAACTGATTGGCATAATTAAAAAATAAATACTAAATTTAAATCCAGCAAATTTAAATCTGGGGCATGCAGGGAGCAGATCGCAGCTTTGCCCTGGGCTCCAGCCTCATGCTGTCACCGCTCCAAGATCCCAGCCCCTTCCGCCTATCCATCCCGCTCCTGGGTGCTGCTCCCTGCCCACCTGTGACCCCATCCCATGCACCCAGCCATGTGCCCTGCCCATGCAGGTCCTGCGCCCAGTGGCGGGTGCAGAGCAGATGGGCTGGAGCGCCTCAGCAGTGGGGCTGGGTTCGGCGGCGGTGGCAGTCAGGAAGAGCTCCACTGTGGGGAATGCCAGGAGGCAAGTCTGGCCGCCACACCACCCCAGCCCTGCTGTGTACCTGAGGAGGCAGGACCAGTTGCATGTGCCATGGCCCGGGCTGCCCCATGCACCTGGGCTGGGCAGGACCGAGGGACCTGCTGTGGGCTGGACAAAATCCCTTGGGTCAGATCTGCCCCGCGGGCCTATTTTGCCCACCTCTCCAGTAGCTGCTTTGGAATATGTCTAGGACCATTGTCTCTTTATGTCCAAATAGCTATGACTTATTCCAAACTTATAAACGTTTATAAAAAACTACTTAAGTTTAACCTGGGTGCTTTTACTAGTTAAAGATACAGCACAATGAAGACCAGCAGGAAACCCTCAGAAAAATGCCAGCTTTTCTATCCTGTAATACAGTGACCTCTGCCAGCATTTACAAGTTTGCGTATAATGTAACATGATAACTTGGCAAAGATAGTAATCCTGTGATGAGGACCTCGCCTTCTCTGGCTTTTAAACCATATCAATTAGATTTCTTGATTATTTTAGAGCAATTGCACATCTGTCTGTGAAACACAAATATCATGTGAAACGTGGATTAACAACCAAACTGGGGAAAATACATAGAGCTTAAAGATGACTCAAGTACAAGGGGACATCTCGTTATTTAGAAGTTGCCCCTTTCCAGGCCTAACATTGCAAACCCAAACTCTGGGGGCTTGTTTGTGTTAATGTTGAGGGGCATGTTGCACAGCTCATAGTTAATGAGACTGAGCCTTGAAGTGCTGTTGGCAAAGACATGAATGTCGTGCACCAAAAAGCATCTGTCTAGAACCACTTCACTAATCTAAGGAAATAGGAGTGAAACCCCTGCAAAGGCACTACAGCTGTTGCAAGGCTGATGTGCATACATAATACAGCACTTTGTTTTAAGTAGTTATGTGTTCTGCATTTGGTCAGCAACACCTCCACAGCTGCAAGCTTTGGTTGTGGCCTGAAGCTTTACCGCATGTTAACTCCTGAGCGTGGTGCAACCCAGGAGGACCTCTGAGGTTGTTGGCACTAGGCTGGGCTAAAATCAGCCCTGGGGTAACTGGGCGAATTCCATTGAGGGCAGTAGTGACATGTAGGGGGTGCACGGGGGTGCACATGCGCCCCCTGAGAGCACTGGTGCACCCCCTGACAGCAGCGTTCCCCGTGTAGGTGATGGGCAGGTGGGGCAGGCGGGAGTGCTGGTGAGAACCAGCCGGGGAGTGGGGGTACCAGGAGAAGTGATCCCCGTGGTCCCCTAGCAGCTGATCACGCTGACTGGGGGGGTTCCCCCATGGCTGATTATGCTGGCACTTCCATGTCAGTGTGATTGGCCACGTGGGGACCCCCTCAGTTGCTGACTGGCCTCTGTGTGTGTGTGTGTGTGGGGGGGGTGGGGGGGCAAGTGCCCCCCCTGACTCGGGAGGCACCAGTTGCCCATGATTGAGGGAGTGGAGTTGCGTTTGCTCATCCGAGGTCTGACCTGGTAGTAGGACCTTCCAGTGCAATGCAGAACCTTCCGACTAAAAATATACAGAGATTAAAAGAAAATGGCCCGTTTAAAAACCATTTAGCACTTAGTACTTCTGTTCGCTTACAGAGCCCTTTTGCAAAGCTCAATTAATCCTCAGCCTCCAGTGGGGGCAGGAAGAGTTACCCCATTTTATTGAAGCAGAGATTAAGACCAGGGTTTTTGACGGTCCTGTCTGGGTGCTGTTGTTGCCCAAATTCTGCGCAGGGGCTATGCTGCTGCAGCCTGAGCCCCTGGTGCAGGCCCGAGGCAGGGGAAGAAGAGGGGTCTTGGCTGCTCACTCAGCAGCTCATCGTCTTGGGAAGGAAAGCGTCACATCTCTAATTGCGGTGTCAGTCCCTGTGTTTGTGTAGCTGGGCTCCCCTCCCCGCGTTCTCCCTCATTACCTCTGTCTGCCCCAGATCCTGTGGGTTTGGCCACTTTCCAGCAGCGTCTGAAAATAGCCTGCTTTTTTTTTTTTAGTTGAACATGGCTCGCCACTGGGTGCCTGGGCCTAATTACCATATGCAGAATAACTTTGCATATGCTAATCTGTATCTAGTTAATATTTCTGCTCAGCCCTGCGGCCCTTTTGGAAATCTCTCCATATGTTGATGGCTCAGGTAGCCTGCATGCTCCAACTTAGAAAACGCCCTTAGGTTCCCAGTTCCTGTGTCCCTCACGCAGGCGCTGTTCGAGGAGCTATTTGTACTTTTATGAGCCTTTGTTTCTCCTCTGTTTCTCAGTCTCGATTGGGGGAGCACTCATTCAGGCATCAGGCCACATTTGTATAGCCCCTTGGAAAAAAAACATAACAGATTTTTTTTTTTTAATGGGAATTCACCTGTATGTTTAATCACAGTATGGCAGGGAGGAGGGTCAGATTCAGTGAAGAGCCGACTGCCAGCTTGCTTGCTTAACACCTTTGCTGTCGGCCAAACGGGATACCCAGAGTTGGGGACCCAAAGCCCTCGGGCTCTGTAGCTTCAGGGCAGCCTGCCAGACAGACTGGGAGCCAGGGCTTCAGCCCCTTTCATGGAGAAGTTGGAAACTTTAGGCATCCCTCCCCAATGGGAACAAAACCAAATCCTCTGTGAGATGGAATTGCAACCCCTGTCCTCACCAGCTCTGTTAAATACAAGTCCAGCCCTGTATCTCAGCAATCTCCCTGGTGCGGAGGAAGCTGGTAATGTGCCTCCCCAGCTCAGCTGCCACACAGGCAGAGATGAGCTGACATCGCTGTAAGAGACTCTGGCAGCGCTGCTGAAAGCCTGCGAGCTGCGAAAGCTTGGGAAGCAGCTGCGCAGGCCGTTATCGACTGCGTCTTGAACCTCCGCTTCTCAAACAGATTAGCTTCCTCAGCTATGGATAGTCATAACACTTAACCACTTCCAAAGGCAGAGGGTGTGTCAGCTCTTAGGCTGTAAGTGTTACATGCGCAAGCTCCAGTAGTGAGCTAATTCACAGTAAATGCGACTGCTATTGGAAAAGGTGAAAGTTGCAATAATTTTGCTGCACCTGTTTAGATACAGAAGCCAGCATGCATACGTCGCATCATAATAGCTGATATGTGTGCCATTTAATGTAGATATCTTTGTTACATCTATCGGTACCCCTAGGAGAACACCTAACTGCCCCATCTTTGGTAAAGTCCCTCCTGTAAAGTCTCTAGCAGGGGTCCTGGGCCCAGTTTTTAGGACGATTATAGTGACCCTGTGCTGGTACAAAAGGCAGATCTGGCCAACTGGACTCACCACATCATAGAGTATCCAAAAATATCTGCTCCAGGCCAAGTTGCCTCTGAGCCCCCAAGCAAGCAAAAGGATGTGAGTGGAGTGCGTCTAAGAAAAGAGCTTGTGCATCGTATTTCAGCAATGTTGCCTCTGCAGACTCTTTCTTCCTAACGAGCTAGCTCTCTTGAGCCTGGGCTCTGCAATGAATGCCATACAGGTGGCTTCTAAACTTTTGCAGGTCTTGAAAGTCTGCAGGTGTCTGCGTGTCTTGCAGGGCCGGTCTGTGCAATGTTCTGTCTTTGCGTGGGCTCCCGGGGTGTAAGTAGCATTGCCTCTTGCATTGACGCGGAAAGAGAACTGTTTTTAACCTGGTGTTTTCTCCCTTTTTCAGGAAGCATCGTGAGCGTGGGTGACCCCAAGAAGAAATACACACGCTTTGAAAAGATTGGACAAGGGTTAGTGTCTGCTTCCCATCCCACCTCTCCTCCTGCACTGTCAGCATAAGGAAGGCAGAAAAGCCAAGCTGGGTTTGTCTTCTGGAAACACTGTGATGTTTTCCTTCCGCCGTCTCTTCCCTCCACTGGCATACTCTTGAGTCATGGTGACTGGGACTTTGCATGATTGTGTTTAATATAAAAATATATATCATTAGATGATCTTGTTGCTAAATATACCAGGGTGTAAGAAAGAACCACTTATTTTCTCTGAACAAAACAATTTTCAAATTATAGATTTGCTTTCAGAATTAACCCTCTATGCTCAGGCCTGGTTTTGCATTCCCCTTGCAGGGGTGTATGTGTATATAGGGTCTCTTGGAGAGGTGATTTGAATCCTTCATTTACTGAAAAATGACTTAGTTTTTGAGGCCAGTTATCAAACCACTGTAACGATTATTTCATCTCTGGTGAGCCTGCAGAGTGCACATACTTTCCATATAAAGTATTTGGTCTCAGCCCTTCCCCTCAGCTATTAAAGGCAGTGGGAGATTTGCCACCGACTCCAGTGGGTTCAGAATCATGTTCTCTCTCCCAGTGGCCACATCTCTCTTGATTTGGTCTGCCCTGCCATCTTTATCATCTTGGGGTAGCCTGGACACCAGGCCTGCTGCAGTTGTGCCACTTTTAGGTCGAATCAAACTATGTTCTTCACAGTGTTACATAACTGGAGTCGTTGCCACTGTCCCAGAATATGGTGCGATTAATTCGACCGTGGTTAAGACCAAGACCGAGACCATAACCATGTCAGGAGACTGTTGTGTTTGTAGTCAGGTCCCCAGCAATCTTTGTAACCACTGAGATTTGCTTCTAAGCATTGCAGATTGTTACTTATGCTTGGAAATATGTGGGGCAGAGTGGGAAGGAAATATGCATTCGAGAAAGTTTTATGGATTCAGAAAAGTGTGGGTGGGTGTCTGTGTGTGTGTGTTTCTCACTTTCGCTCTTTAATTCTAATAATGTCTCTCTTTTTATTTTTTTCTTCTTACCCCCTTCATCCTTGCTTAGAGCCTCAGGCACAGTTTATACTGCAATGGATGTAGCTACGGGACAGGAGGTAAGTGCTACCAAGTCGCTGCACCCAGTTGCTTGGAATCGTGCCCTAAAACAGGGGTGGCCCGTTTGTGGCACGTGGGAGCAGGGAGCAGAAAGCAGAGCAACAGAACGGGCAGGGGAAGGGGATTGGCATGGCACTCAGAGAGGGCAAGGCTTAATTTGTGACACCTGCCAAAAGGTTGGCCCCTACTGCCCTAAAAGATCTATCTAATGCTGCAAAATAAGGACTTTCTTTCAAGGGTACATGGTGATTTAGCTTTCAGTCATAATGATTATTTGCGGGGTCCTGTACGGCATGGTCTAGTAGACTGAGCACAGAACAGTAGGAACCAAGAGTGTCCAAAGTCTACTCCAAGCATCCTTCTCATCTGGAGGGGTTTTCTCGGCATCTATGGAAGCTGGAAGTGCATTCATGTACATGTGAATATAGTCCTGATATTAACATATAGCCTCTCCGAGCAAATCTTGTCCTTCTCCTGTATCACCTACGTTGACTCTAAATGCCAGAAGCCGAGAGAACTCCTGTTTCCCCTTCCCAGTCTGTGTCCATTTGCTTGTCTCTCCTTAAATTGAGAGCCCTGATAGGCAGCGAATGACCCTTTCTGCACCTCCACAAGTAGTCCTCACTGCATATTCATTATTCAAAATAATTTGTGGAAGTTTGTAGCATCACTGGTCCCTGGAACATGGATCTATTTTGCATTTATACAAAATCATGAATTATAGACCAGCAAACTTTGCTTTTGGCTTTTTTGCTGATGCTGTATTAGGAACTGGTAATGGGTGAGATGAGAAAGCAGTAATACTGCTCGACTTCAGGTCTTTGTGAAGGGGGAGACATAGTGGCCAGCTTGTTTTCCTAAGGCAAACAATTGTAACGCATTGTAAAGCATTGCAGTAGTCTGAAGAATTATATAATGCGTATTTTATGAAACCCTTATGTTGCCTCTTAGGATTCAATACTTGATTTCCATATAGATATTTCTACTCATTATACACCCCATTAAACCACGGACTTTCATAAATGTTAGGGCCGGAAGGGACCTCAATAGATCATCGAGTCCGACCCCCAAATAACTTCCAGCTTAAATAACTTCCATCGGCTCCAGGTTGTCATCAGTCTAGGCATGCTCAGGTCTTTGATTTTTAAATCTGCATCTCTGGAATCCTTCATGGAAGCAAGGTTTTTTTTTTTAATGATATTTTTTATTGGGCCAACTGTATAGTTGGGAGAGATGGTCCAATTAACCACATTGCTTCTCACATTGCTGCACCCTCACGGCTACAGTACCGCTTCTCCCCTATCCTTCTACTCTGTTAACCTATTCCTTGGTACGCGGACTTCAAGTAGTTCTTTGTCACTGCTGTAAATCTTCCCTATTAGACTTAAGCTCAATGAAATTGAAAGGCAGTAGATTTAAAACTAATTAAGGGAAATTATTATTCAATGTACAACTACCCTGTGCAATGTCTTGTCACAATATATGGCAAGCCAGGGTGTTAACAAGATTACAAAGACTCTTGTGTCTTTATGAATAGTTAGTATCCGATGTGCGATTTGCCCTCTTGTTTTAGTTTAGCTCTTGCTAATTTGGAAGGGATGCCTGTGCCTGCGTGTGGGAAGGCATAAGCCAAACTCCCATCAAGGTGAGGAAGAAATCCACCATGAATATAGTTTCTGGTTTCATGCACCCTGAGGGTTAGTGTAGGGGTTTCTCCTTGACTTCTGGCTCAGTGAGGATTGAAGCGAGGATCCTCCTGACATAATTCAAAGTGTGTCACCACTGGCTGTTTTATTGACAGCAGCTTGATAGCGTTGCCAATACTGCTGCAAAGCAGTGCAATCTGTCTCCTCGTCCCTCCTCCTCTTTCTCTGGTGTTTTGGGGTGCTCTGCACATATTGCCTTTCACTGTCATACTGAAGCGCCCTCTGTACAGGTACTTGCCTGCTTTTGTGCACTTGACTTGCTGGCTCCCTCCCCTCTCGGCCACGCTTTCTCCGCAGGCAGCTCTGGTGTATGATTATGCTTCCATCTCTTTATCTTTGCCTAAATATTGTACAAAATGCAATTGGGGTGTAACAGCTGTCAAATTGATTCTGTTGTGCTGAGTTAGTCCTATTGATTTCCCTGAGTGAGAGGCTGTGCTTTGTGAGCAAGGGAATTTGGTCCCATATGCTGGCATTGTGATTACTTGTGTTTCATTAATAGCACATTACACCAGATTTCTGTTTGTATGCATATGGATATGGGTCTGTGTAATGAAGGGCTGTGTAAAGCAAGAGGATGCCAATTAATTAGAGTTTACTTCCACTCCTCCCAAGGTAACACTAGGGATGGAGTTGAATCAAACTCCTGGGTCCGGACACCCTCAAAGTTTGCATGTGAATGTTGTTGCACCATCTCCTAGCTCTGGTTATAACCTTGTGAACATTTTACTGTGGGGAACAGCCCTCAAGCGACGTGATTTTGACCCAGACATTTCTTGAAGCATGGCTTCCACCCAAAGCAAGAGGCCGATCCAAAATGAAATGATGCGAGTGACATTCCTTAATGGGTCAGCATTGGCTAAATCAGTCAGTGTTGTAGTGAGCAGCTGTTTGTTGCCTTGCCAAGAGTACTCAGGAGGAAAGCCATCCAACCATGACACAGGCCTCCAGTATGAAAGTATTGCCAGTATGTTTTTGGCTTGCTGAACTTGAACATGTCTGAAAATCACAGAATCATAAAAAATGAGGTCTGGAAGGGACCTCGAGAGGTCACATCTAGTCCAACCACCTGATCAAAGCAGGGCCAGCCCCAGCTAAATCATCCCAGCCAAAGCTGTGTCTAGCCAGGTCTTAAAAACCTCCAAGGATGGAGAGTCCACCATCTCTCTGGGTAACCGGTTCCAGTGTTTTACTACCCTCCTAGTGAGAAAATTCTTCCTAATATCTAACTTAAACTTCCCTTGCTGCAACTTGAGCCCATTTCTGCTTGTTCTGTCATCAGCCCCCACTGAGTGCAGACCAGCTCCAGCCTGGTTTGGAAATTGAAAGGTGCTGGAAGCACTTGTCCTCTTACCAAACTGCTCGGTCACCCTTGAGAGTAAAACTGGCCTTAAACTTTATTTGAAGTAGGATGCAAGAAGGCCAGATTAGAAACTGGCAGGTTTTGAGGTGACTTAATACATCTTTACTTTTTAATTTGTTTCCTCTCCTTATTGTAGGTTGCAATCAAACAGATGAATTTGCAGCAGCAGCCCAAGAAAGAGCTGATCATCAATGAAATCCTCGTCATGAGGGAAAATAAAAACCCCAACATTGTCAACTACCTGGACAGGTGGGCTCCGATTCCAGATCTGGCTATAGGGCCACTGACCGTCCCTTTCCAAGGCAACTCTGCTTGAATTCAAACCAGGCTGATAAACCAGACACTTTATAGTTAGTCTGCCGTGCCAGTGGTGAGAGTTCATTTCCTAAGAGACAGTTTTAAAAAATCCACTTTAGCACTTTAAGTTCCCTTTAAAGATGACGGCATCAAATGCTTTTAGCAAGACTCAGGCAGGTTTCCACATTGCGCCCCTTTCCCTTGCCAAAATGCTGCCCCGTGAGCAATTTCCTCTCTGCCACCAGAAGAGAAAGGGAGATGGAAATTGAGCTGTGCCATTCGCCTTTGCTCTCTCTTCCACTGGGGCTGTGATGTGAATGATGCTGGCATGCTCCATTTGTGCAGCAATCTCCCTGCCAGGCTCCCAGGGTAAACTGTCCTGCTAGCTGTTTCTTACACTGATTTTTATTTCCAGTTGAGCTCAGTTGGCTTGTTTCTTCCCTGAGTCATAACAGCATAATTGGCAATTATGGGAAAAAAACATGCCCTTGGCCCCTGATGAGGTATGAGCAAAGTGCGGGGAAGGGAGGGAGCAGCTGCAAGGAGATGCATTCCCCCAAGCCATGCGCCGGGGGCTGGGGCTGGGCTTGCACGGCCCAAAGACTGAGCATAGCTAGAGCTCAGAGGGGCGCTAACCTCTCTTCACACGCAGCAGGACCTCTCCCTTCTCCGAGCCGACTCGCATGGGATTATGCCCTTGGAAAGAATAAATTGGCTGCCACTGCTTGGCCTCTCAAGGCCTGGTGCCTAGTTCACGCCTGACACTGCTAGGTGTGTGGTACAACCCTGGTGGGGGTGTCTAGCACAGAACTGAGTCTTACTGCATGCCTACAGGGTTGAAGTGTTGTAGCCTTGATGGTCCAGGGAATATGTGAGGACGAAGAGGAGAGTCCCTTGATGGATAAATGTATCCAAGATATCACCAGACAGACCTTGCTTCTCACTTACCTGCACTAGACTTACCTGTACTGGTTTCTAAACAGATATTGTGAAGTCAGTAAATGCAGGGAGGGAGAAGGAGTGTTAAAACCCCCTTAGTGCCAACCCCCTGGTGAGGTGGTCTCACCAGATACACACCAGCTATTAAACCAGCCTTCCCCTCCAGACCTTCAGCTTTCATTTAAAAAAGACGTGCTTCTAGCCCTCCTGGCAGCAATCATAATCCTGGCGTGCAACCACTGTACACATCTCGACAGTGGCGTTGCCACTGACTGTAACGCTGCAGGGTTGAAAGCTTCCCTGTGTGTTGTTATGGGGTGCTCCCACAAACTCACGGCATCAACTGTTTCTCTGTTCATTTTGCAGGAACATCCAACCCGTGTGATTTTCCTCTAGCCTAACCTGCCTTACTTGTGGCTGAAATCTTTTTAACTTTCCATCTGACAACTTCTAAGGAGCATATTAAGCTGTCAATAGAAAAAATCCCTGGTTTACTGAAAGCCGGAAGTGTGGGGGTGTCATACAAAGACTCGCAAATTCTTGGCTTTCAGGTGTTAGTGCAAAATAAGTGCAAGAAGGCCTGTCACTTCCTAATAAAGCATTGAGGACTTTTCCTCCGTAAGCACAGGTTTACGATGATTGGTATTGATGTAGTGCTTTTTTTCCCCTTGGGGGACAGGAGGACATAGGATCTTAAAACAGCTTCTGAGCCCCTCGGCACTCCTAAGATGCCTTAAAGAGGAGTTGGGCCTGATTTTCCTACCCAGACTTGTACTGAGAAAATCTTATTTGGGACCTATTTTAGAAGGACTCTACAGCATGAATCAGGGTTGCCACATCCGACTTTGAATGACATGCCCAAGGTCACATGGTGAATCAGTATCAGGGAACAGAATTTGGGTGCACTGACTCCAGCCCTGTATCTTAAACACAAGGCCTTTTTATGTCTGTAAAGTCTGCAGTGAACAGCTGAGTGACTAATACTATCAGACGCTGTGCGGAGAGATCAGACTGATCTGGGGGGGAACCAGGCTGCTCCCTCTGATTTGCCGTTACTCAGCTGGAGCTGGCAGGAAGCACTAATTAATTCTGCATCCATGCCCCTTGTGTAAGATCTATCAATTATTTAGGTAGCCAGGCCCTGGATCGTGCACGTGGCTGCTGATTGGCACAGCTTCACATTCGCAGCAGGGCTCTTGGCTGCCTTCATCAGCCGCTCACCAAGTCAGCATTCAGCCAAGGCTAGCTGTGCTGTACAGTGCAAGGGTTTTCTGTTCTATTCTTCACCCTTGTTCTTGCTCTCACTGTCCAGGCTATGAGGGCACTTATGGCAGGGAAGGGAAAAGCAACTTCTCAGCCACCTTTGCTGATCTGGTGGAGGTGTATCTGGAAGGAGAGGTATCCATTTATTTGGGAGGAGAGTGAGCAAGGTCCACCAGCTTGTAAGTGAGAGAGGTAGTGTCTTTGAGGGTCTGTCTGGAGGAGAGTGACCCAAATTTCATGGGGCAAGCAGGGCATCTGAGCTAACGAACAGTTTCATCCTTGCAGTCCCCTCCTCGGTGCTGTGCAGAGCCGCTGGCGGCTCAGCCCCTATAGCTATGGGATATACTGCCGAGGAACAGCGGGCGCCTGGACTCTGTCTACAGGCTATATTCTTTGCCGATACCCCTAAGTGAGTGCATCTGCACATGAGAGCCCTGCGCACCCTAGCTACGCAGAAAAGGCTCATTGCACTAGGGTGCTGTCTCCTTGGTGCCCAATCCTGTGCTTAAGCCATTAGGCCCTATTTGTCCTTCTTTAACTAAGGAGAATCCCCTTGATTCAAGTGTTTCAAGGTCTGTGCCACTTTGGAACAAACCCCCACTCCATGAAACAGTCCTACATAGCCTTAGAGTCATTGCTGTGTCTCTCTTGAACCCAAATTGTGCCTTAACCCATCTTGATCCTGCCTATAGGAAGTTTCTAGCTAATCACTGCCAGGCCCTCACCTTGCTTTCTGTCCTTGACAAGTCCCCGAGATTTATTAGTGACTCCGAGTCTGTCTGTTATCCTCTGGTCTTGAAGATGCAGAAGGATTGATGCTTCTGATGAGGCCTGAGAGTCCCCAAAATGACACTAATGCAGTGTCAGCATCAGCACAGCAGCTTTTCACCTGATTCTGATCTTCTGTTTGTCTGTCTGTTGACCCTGCCTGCTTGCCAGCTTGATTGGCTGCAAAAGCTTCTGCTGATTAAAATGGGTACAGGTCAGGAGTTTTTCAGCCTCTTATAACTTTAAAAAAACACAAAGGTGGGGGTGGGGGCAAGAAAAAAATGGGCATTGCTTATTTTCCCCTATACCCAGCAGATCTTCTTGATGCCAGACCTTTGAACTGGCCCAAGATGCTCACAAATGTCCGTGTGGTTGCATTGTGGTTTGTAATGCTGGGGAAACCTGTTAACTATGCTGTGTGGGGAGGCAAGTGGCAAAGCACAGCTCTCAGAAAATGGGGGGTGACTAGACACAGGTAAACTGGTCACGGGTCTGCTCCCCCAGAAAATTTCAGGGAATCATAGGATCAAAAAATGAGGGTTGAAGGGACCTCAGGAGGTCACATCTAATCCAACCCCCTGCTCAAAGCAGGACCAGCCCCAATTAGATCATCCCAGCCAACGCTTTGTCTAGCCTGGTTTTAAAAACCTCCAAGGATGGAGACTCCCCAACCTCTCTGGGTAACCTGTTCCAGTGCTTTATTACTCTCCTGGTGAGAGAGTTTTTACTAATATCTAACCTAAACGTCCCTCGTGGCAACTTGAGCCCATTGCTCCTTGTTCTGTCATCTGCCCCCACTGAGATCAGTCTTGCTCCATCCTTGTTGGAGCCCCCTCCAGGTCCTTGAAAGCTGTTATTAAATCCCTGTTCAGTTTTCTCTTCATCCTGAGGTTGTCTTTGCTCATTGCAAACTGCTTCCTCTGCCACAGTGTCTACTGCAAGATAGGAAATGTTGGTTGTGTGTCTGCTCCTTATGCTGGATTAAAATCTGGGGTAAATTACTCCATAGTAATAATCGCACTGTGCACCCACACCCTAACATTGTAAACTCTATGGGATAGGGATTGTCTTTTAGCTGTGCATGTCCATCCAAGGCACACAACGTGCTTCAAATCACTTGAGTACCGCGTGTGTATCTCAGATCTCAAGCACAGCTGCATTGGCTGTTAGTGACTAGAGTCCAACGCTTTTAAAATAACTTTTCTCGAAGCTTATTTCAGCTATGGAAATACTTTTATTTTTTTTTCGACTTTTACAGTTACCTTGTAGGAGATGAGCTGTGGGTAGTTATGGAGTATTTGGCAGGAGGCTCCCTCACAGATGTTGTAACGGAGACCTGCATGGATGAAGGACAAATCGCAGCAGTGTGCCGAGAGGTGAGGTAACGCTCTGTAATTGAGAATGAATGGTGATCATCAAATACATATTGAAAAGTTCCCATGAAGTGCCCTTGGCTCAGCAGCACGACTGTGGCTTTGAACTAGGTATCTCTTATATTTCCACAGGCCGTATCTGAACTGCCATAAAAATGGCTAGACCTAATTTGAGAAAAACAGTGAAATGAGAGCAGAATAGGCCAGCAACTGTATACACAACCTGTGGTACAAACGTTCTCGAATTCTGGATTGACTCCTATCAGTTACTTGGATTTCTGCATATCCACAAGCCTTTATGTAAAATAATCTTGCCTTTTAGTGTCCGGGGGGTGGCACATTCACTTGCCCTTGGTTAAAAATATTGTGGCACAAACAAGTTTTTGCCGTGATGGCAAAATTATTGCTGGTCCGATTCCGTGGCCTGTTATGCAAGCGGTCAGGCTAGATGACCTGTTGGTTTTAAAAACTGTTATCTCAGTTACCTGCAATGATTGTGTTTCCCCATTGCATCGCGATAATTCACTTTTATGGTGTATTAAATCTCTCCATTTACTTGCACTGAGGGGCAGGTCAATCCAGGAGGATTATGAGCTAAGGAGAAGCTTTTTAGGCAAGAATGGAGAATTAAGCATCCATCCTCCATTGGCTGTTAATGGGGGATAGGTACCCAAATGTCCCATGTGCCTCTGAAAGACCTTCCTCCCCAATCTCTGTGCAGTCCTGCAGTTTTGCTTTCCTATTGCCCTGATGAATGAGTGG